CACTTCTGTATTTCTCCATCTAAGAATGCGTTTTTCTAAGTCAATTTTGAACCCATATTTTGTCAGAAAGTCGACACCTATTATGCATTCGTCGATGATATCCGCGACTAAGAATGAACCTTCGAATAACAAGTCGCCTAGCTGAACAGTACGGAGAATCTTTCCATAGACTGGTGCCGTTCCTCCGGTAGCTGTTCGAAGGATGTATTTGTTAGAAGTCTCTTTCTTCAGATTGGGTACCAAATCAGATCTTAAAATCGAGTTTGTTGCTCCTGTGTCGACTGTAATTACACATTCTCGTTGATCAACTTTTCCGTTCAGCCATAGGTCGTTTCTATTTCGATGTAGTCTGGAAACGTTAATTACGGTACTGGGGGCGTCAATTCTACTAGCCAACCTCTGCCCCATAAAGTTGGCTCTTATTAGTTTTTCCGCCCCTTCGTTAAAAGGGGCCGATCGTGATACAGGATCATCTTTTCTTCTTTTGCGCCATCTTGTCGCGCAATTTCGGCAGTAGTTATCTTTTAGGCGGTGTTTACAATCACGACGTAGATGGTCTTTTTCACCACAAATCCAGCATTGGGGTACACCATGCTGTTGGGGTTCGCGTTTCACAACCACCTTCCGGGAAGAGCATTCTTCATGTACTTGGCGTAGACGTACGTCACTTTTTGATGCTTGCTTTGCCGATTCAAAAGTGAAACTGTGCGCAACGGCATCCTTGAGTTTTCGTTTATCTGACAAGAGAAGGGATTGCTTGAGTTCCGAATCACGAAGGGCTTTAATAAACGTATCCAGGGCAGTTTCGTCTCTATGCTCGGGGTTTGATGTCGGATACGACAGCAATGTCAACCGTTCGATATCTTGTGCCAGCTGCTGAATGGATTCACCAGATCGTTGCGTTCTGTTTCTAAGCTGAGACCGATAAATCTGTTTCATGTGTTTTTCACCATAACGTAAATCCAACGCGCTAACCAGAACTTCATAGTTGAAGTGGTTCTCCGCCGGAATCGTCTAAAAAACCTCTGCTACTGAACCTCGCAGGCTCTTACAGTATATTATTACAAGTATATACCTATAATAACCCAAATATATCAAGAAATATTCTTACTATACCGACAAATATAAAATTTAGCTTATTGCTCTTAATCTTATCTTTAGCTGGTCTACCACCACTATTTTTTTTATTTTTACAGGTGCAGCTATAGCTGCAGGTAGTCAGCTACTAAATGGTATTTGGGCTCTCTTTGTTAATGCTGCAATAGTAATTATTATAACTTGAATTCAAAAGTAATCATCAAATATCCACATAGACATCACATTTCAGTGACCTTGATTTAGTGTTATACCAATTGATAGGAGAATTATTACATCCCCAATACGATTTGTTATAGCTGTAATTATTCCAGCAGCTAAAGATTTAGAATTTTGATAATAAATAACTAAGATGAATGACACGATACCCAACCCATCTCATCCCAATAATAGGATAATTATGTTTGGAATATAAATTAAAAGGTTTATAGACAACACAAATAACAGTACTAAAATAGTGAATCGGTCAACAAATTTTTCTTCTTTTATATAAAGATTTGAAAAAAATAGTACATTGCCTGAAATAAATAGTACAGCAGAAGAAAATAATACCCCTTTTATATCAAGCATAATAGTAAAGTTTACTGGGGTTAAACTCGACTGTGGTTAGATTTTAAACTCGATTAGCCAGCAACTCAAAATTTTATAATATATATTATAATAGTTGCCCCAATCTTTATATTATTACAAGTATATACCTATAATAATAACCAGTTCACATTTTCATGTATTGATTAGTTTTACCCACTGTATTATTAGATTACACAAATTTGTTATACTAAATTATATACTTTAAGTTTTGTTGTACATGAGGAATAACATCCTTTGTTATTGTAGCTAAAACTCAGTGCTGTTGCTCGTTCTTTTTCGTTCCAACAGTTACTAGTTGCCGCTGCTTCGAACTGGGTTTTATAAACGTTCCAGGACATTTCTCCGTCAAATGCTGGTACTTTCAAAGTTCTTCCAGATGCGTGATCTAACGGCATGGCCATTTTTTTAAATTGCTCCAATTCTCGCTTCAATTTGTCTATCTTGTGATCTACCTCAACGGTCTGACGATCAAGTTTCTGCTCGATCATTTCTATTCTTGTTGACTGTTCTTCAATCTGTTCTGCCAATTCCAATTTTAAGTGTTTTAGCTGGTCCTTGATCTGTTTTAACTCCTCTGTCTGTCGTTCGGACTGTTCCTTGATCTGTTGTTTTAACTCTTTTGTCTGTCGTTCGGACTGTTGTTCGGACTGTTCTTTGATCTGTTTTAACTCCTCTGTCTGTCGTTCGGACTGTTCCTTGATCTGTTGTTTTATTTCAGTTGACATACTAAGCAGAAGTTTTATCATTTTAGCGGTTGTAAACGTGCCTGTGCTAATTTCATTGTTTTCGTCAGCACCATCAAACTTGAATTCGTCTGGGTTCTTACCTTCGTCAATGAGAGCTTCTCTCAGACGTGCTACTAGTACTTCTTTGTTGCCACTTGTGACAAGGCTTCGTTTCTGTAGTTCTTCTCGTAGCTGAACTACGTTCAAACCACACAGTTTTGACATCGTGTTCTTTTTCTATGAGTAGTAATTCGCTGGTCGAAGTTCCCACTTCTGACACCAATGTTATAATACTCGCTGTCGTAACCGATTTACGATGCGACGGGTTCAAATCTTCGATTGAATAAAATACTCCAAACAGTTATTAGTTATTAAACTTTATTTACAGAAGAAATCAACTAATCGTTTATTTCTAGCAAATTTAAATTAACACAACAATTAACTTTTAAATTGTTCAAAATCTATCGCTATGACAACGTCAAAAAAACAAATTAAATATCGCTTTAAATAATTAACCGAATCGCTATTCACAAAATCACAGAGTCACGAATTTACAAAATCACGAATTTCACTAATCACGAATTTCACTTATCACGAATTTCACTAATCACTAATCTTCTTGCGACGTGGTCGCATAACGTTGAAAAATGCGGAAGCGCGCGCGCTGAACTTTAACGAATTTTTCTGAAAGTGAATTTACATTGTTATCGCAAACTCGCGTTTTCGTCGTCGTTATTTTTGTTTATTTTTCGAAAATGCGCCCGTCTATATAATTTTTGGTTGTTATGATCGATAAAAGAAATGTGTATTATTATAAAAATATTTTTTCTTTGTTGTTGTGAGTCACATTTGTTGCAGACTATTCGCTACGAGGTTGGTGTTTTTTAATTTTTTTTTTAAATTAGTTAAACATGGACAACACCGATTTTTTTTTGAAGAAATGTGATAATTAACCATTTATTAACATTCTGTAAAAATATTTTTAAAATTAAAGTATAATGAAATTTTTTATGGATTTTTTTCCGCGTGCCCCGTCGGTCACCAAAATGCATTGTATTGACTGTGCTTTTTTATAAGAATGTTCATAACTGCTAAGTTTCATGGGCAACACCGATTTTTTTTGAAGAAATGTGATAATTAACCATTTATTAACATTCTGTCAAAATATTTTTGAAATTAGAGTATAATGAAATTTTTTATGGATTTTTTTCCGCGTGCACCGTCGGTCACGAAAATGCATTGTATTGGCTGTGTTTTTTTATAAGAATGTTCATAACTGCTAAGTTTCATGAGCAACACCGATTTTTTTTTGAAAAAATGTAATAATTAACCACATATTAACATTCTGTAAAAATATTTTTGAAATTAGATTATAATGAAATTTTTCATGGATTTTTTTCCGCGTGCACCTCGCGGTCACGAAATTCAAAATGCGTTGTTTGAGTTGTATTGGTAGTTTTTTCATCAGAATGTTCGTAACTGCTAGCAACAACGACAATTTTTGAAGAAATATAATATAAATACTGCTAATACTGCTAATATAATATAAATACTTATATGCTATATATATAATATATATGCTATATATACTATGCTATATATATATACCTTATATACTCTTCGCAAGCGTCGTTTCTAGATTCTTCTAATCTAATCTAGATGGTCCAATTCCAGCATATTCTAGAATGTTCTAGTGCGTTCGGTAGCACGGTTATAACAATATATATATATACACACACACACACACTTGTTTAGGAAAGTCACAGAAAATTTATGATAACAAATTATAAGATTTACTTTATCGTCTATACTTCTAGACTTCACGTTTTTGAAAACAAATTTCTTTCAAACCGATTCTGTTCTAATGTTTATCCAATTATATAGGATATAATTGGATAAACTCATCATTAGCGTTTATATAGGAATTAAATTGAATATTAATTATAAAATTACTAATAGAAATGTTGAAAAGCTCAATCCTATATAAGCGCTGATACGATTTTCATATTAGGTTTAATAGATTGGATATTAATTATAAAATTACTGTTAGAAATATTGAAAGGCTCAATTGTAAATTTTCCTTTATAAGCGCTGATGATGATTTACTCAGTGGCCCTAATGAAATTTGGCTTCAAACCAATTACACAAAGTCTCTTTTTGATGGAATAATTTTTTTCTGCTCTCTTGAAAAGCATTTCAAAAAATTAAGCATTCAGTGGAGCTTAAGTAAGATGTATGTATGTATGTATATGTATATATATATATATATATATATATATATATATATATTGTGTATTTATGTAATAAGTATTTGTAACGCGCTTTTATCAGCATTTCGAAAAGAGATATACTCACACAACACACCACACACACACCACACAAACACACATGTATCGCTCTTGAATATAATGAAAGAATATGGCATGTAACACAAGTCATGGAAACTAATACATGAAATATGTGCATGCATATATATATATATTATATATATATATATATGCAGTATGCGTTCGTATACGAATGCATTGCAACCGACATGTGGCTTATATGGCATACTTCAATAAGGCATCCCGTTGCATCGTTCAATGTTGTTGAAAGTGTAACTGCTCTTGTTCAGTGATCGGCAAGAAGCGTTCAATACTAACCGGTGTTATTTAACGGGAATTATTTTTTCGAATGAAAAGTTAACAAAATAAATCCATCAAGATGCATTTTCCATCACTAAACGAAGTAGCGAACTTAATTGTAAAAACGAAAATGTATCCATATTTTGATATTTCAAATTACGTCCTCATGTGCTGCATGGTCAGGGACGATTACGCCATTGCAGGTTAATTTATTTTACGGTTAATAACATAATATTTTAGAATCTGTAACGTTTGCTCGGGAGTATACAAAGTTGGCAGCATTGCGATGCATCTAATAATTGTTAGGTTGAATAAAAATCAATGAAATATTCACATGCATGCACACCTCATTTATTCAAAAATCATCTTTCTCTGAATTTATTAAATTGAAACTAAGTTGATATAAGTTGATATTAAACATCGAATTGTTTTAAAAAGTCCACGTAAATAACGTTAACGACATTTCTTTCATGTTGAACAGAAACTAAATCTTAAATTTTTTTGAAACATTTATGATAACGAAATTTATATACTATAAATTTATTTTCAATTCAGTTTCGGTTAATATTTCTTTTTTACATTTCCAAAAATCATGATGCGATTTATAGAAATTCGTTAAAAAATTTTATCGTTACAACATTTGATGTTCTAAGGTCCTTCGGATGATCCTGTTTCATTTTCACGCAAGCATCCGTTGTCGAGTTGGTTCTCAAGTATGCTGCTCTGTTTTGCTAGTGTCATCCTAACAAACTTCTTGCTAGGTGAATCCCCCTTGGCGCCTTTCGGTAACCATCGAGATTTGTTAACCGCAACGGCAACCTGGTAAGTTGTCAAATGGCTAAATTTAGAAACTAAATGGTTGGGATTATTTTAACAATTTTCTTACGTATAGGTTGACAAATTTTAAGTTTCCATTACATATAAGATTATAATAACCCGTTTTTATTCATTTTTATGAAAGGTATTTTATAAATTACTGCCCTTTTGACATTGCATATAAACTATCAAAACTGTTTCCAATTCTTTTTGCCATCAACGTTTTAAAAGAAGTTCAACGAGCTAACAAAGTTTATCATGGAATTCAGTATGCTTTCAAACTATATCAGCAATCCTATTTCATCATATGTGTCATTGGGGTTCTCAAAGGTTTTTAATTTATAATTGTTGCTTTGTTTGTGATCACGTAAGATTTTTTTAGCTAAGTTAATGAAAATTTCTCTATTCCAAATTTTGTAAACATGATGTAGCTTGTTGGAACAATTCTGTTAATAAAGAAGATTTTTCAGTTAATTTTATTTATTTATTACCTTTTAGTGGAACCGATTTTTTTTAAATTTGTCGTAGTTATAATTTATTTTATGAAAAATGGTCCTGGTTATCACACAATGAAACTTTAGACCGGAATCGCCTTATCCGCCTATCATTTTATTCCCATTTTAAACTTTACTTGGGAGCAAGATAAACAATGATGTTGCATTTTATTTTACAGGGGACCACAACTGGAGATGAGTATTAATTGCAGGTAGTTATATAATGACGCAAAAGCTTTCTGGTCAACGTTAAGTTCATGTCTCACAGTTCAATTCTTAGACTAAAATTTTATAATAGTTACCTAGACAAATTCATAGGTGAACACTTGATGTAAAACTCAGCCTAACTTATTATAAGACAGAAACTTAAACATTGAAATAGTATGATATTTTATTGAAAACTTGAACAATGGTGATGAAAGGAAGGAAATAAATAAAAATTGGAATTTTTGACAGGAGCAGGTTATTATTATATGAGACTCTGCGAGAGACTTGCTCGTGGCACGTGGATACCAAGCCATCACGAACTCTTACACCCAACAGGGTTTGTATAATATATCTTTCTCTTAAGTTCATACAAAATTTAGCCCAAAAACTTTTCAAATATTATGTAAAAGTAATGTACATGATTCGAATATTGTATATTGTGAATAAATAAAGTAGGGTAGAGTGGGGCAGCCCAGTATTCAAGAAATTGGCTCTAAATAAAAAGCATTTATTACAATTTTATGTGTTTTTGCTTTACAACTTACATTAATCAGTCGGTGATCAAAATAAAATGTCTGCAGCTTATAAAGATCAATTTCTGAGCTGCAGTGACGAATACAACAAACCTCCTAAAATAGGCTTTTTTTCCCATAGGTGAGGTAAGAGGCCCAAGTACAGGGGCAAAACGCCTTAAACAATGAATGATGTATTAAAAGTTCAACAATGATACAAAATGATTTCAAAAATATTTTTATGTTTTATTGGCAGAAAGTAACGCACATAATTCACTTGAAATGTGTCTTTAAAAATAAAAAAAAACAGGAGATAAAATTAGTTTCATCATAATCAACAACATCATCATCATTATCGTCAATAGTCAATATCATCATCATTATCATGATACTAGTTTCCAGAATAACAACAATAATCAATCACAGTTTGGGCAAATAAACCAAGGGGTTTTCGCAGTACATGCATCATGAACCCACTTTTTACATTTTTGACATTGCACTCCTTGTTCACGAAATTTGCTATTAGAAAACTGATCCCCACATATCACACACGGCCAATCATCTTCCTCAGTACTTGATTCAGTCAGTGCAACTTTTTTAACTATTCTTTTTTTTAGTGGTTTCATGTCGTTTGTACAAGTTTGTTTTGAGTTGTATTTTTCGTTTTAAACTTTCTATAGTCAATCTTACTTCAGTTGACATAACTTTCTCTTCAAGTTCTTTCTTGAATGGTAAAGAAGTTATTAACTTTGATGATTCTGGTTTACGTTTTCTATTTCTGACACCTGATATGTTTGGCAATGGAGGCAACTTTTTAATCACATCTTTAGCCATTGTCAAAATTGAATTTAACTTATTATTATTAAAAGATCAATTTTTTTGAATATTCAAAATATATTATTTTATTATTTTGATTCACCTTGTGAATCGTGATTATGTCCTGGTTATGACATTAAACTGACCCTCACTGCCTTGTGAGTGATGTTGGATCATCAAAGGCTAGGCCCACCGCTTATAACTGTGGTTGCGTAAGGAAGGGCGTCCTGCGTAAAAATTAGCCAAATAAATTACTTATGATGGAATGGCGTCGAGGGGTATTTCGGTTTCATCATAGGTAGCCAAACGGCAACCCCCGATCTCGGGGAAAATGTCGTCTAAACGTGTGTTGTTGTTGTTGTTGTAGATCGTGATTGTTGAGCTCATGTGATGACTGATCTAAATTAGTTGTCTCAATCAAGTGATGATTTATTTCTGCATTTGGCTTTTCTTTTTCAGTGACATCAGCTGTTATTATCAAATGGCCATAGTCCACAAGTCTTGAATCCTTGAACTGCTTTTCAGAAGTTGATGTGCGAAGAAATGCTTTTCCAAATAAACTGGCTATATCATAAAAACTGATTTTTTCTACCAGGGTTTGACACTAACCAGTTATCACAAGCAACAATTTGTAAGCACGTTTTAGTGGTTTAAAATATGTCTTGTCAAGTGGTTGCAGTTTATGAATACAATGGGGTGGAAATGTTAACCTGTGAATGCCTTTGCTAAGTGCTAAATTTATAGCACTAATAGATTTATGGCTGTTGTGTCCATCAAATAAAATAATAGTAGGATTTTTTAGAAGCGTTCGTGCATTTTGAAAAATTGTAGTAAATAGTGCTGAATCAGTCCATCCATTTGGACTAGTGTGTCCAACAGATTCTGGGGGTGCTCCTCTAAGTAAAGCATCAGTCATTCTTTTGTGAGGATATATGAACATGGGTGGCAGGAAATTACCAGCAACATTGAATTATTATTATTGTTATTATTAGAGAACTTGTAGAGCGCCTTTTATAGTCACCCAAAGTCGCTCCATGATTTGTGCGAAACAATCCAAGAAGATATGAGTTTTCAATTCCTTGCGAAACATGTTGAAGAGTCAATCCCGGCCGACGCAGGTAATGGGGCAAATTATTCCAGATCGAAGGACCAGCAACTGCAAAACTTCTATCAGCAATAGACAACTTTGTTTTCGGCACCATCAATAAATCTTGATCATCTAAACGCAACTTGATTGACGAATGAGATCTAACTCTACGTATTATCATTTCAGACAGGTAACTTGGACTGAGACCATTCAGGCATTTGAACACCATGATGGAAATTTTGTATAAGATTCTTTTCCTAACATTAAGCCAATGAAGATCCAACAACGTTTGACTAATGTGATCAAACTTCAAACGGCCACTAACAATCCTGGCCGCTCTGTTCTGAATTGACTGTAGACAAGACAATGTACTGTTTGATACTCCATAGAAAACACTGTTACAGTAGTCCAACTTTGAATGAACAAATGCATGAACCAAACATTTTAATGTGTCATTATCTAATGAGTTTTTAACTTGATTAAGCCTTCTAAGCTGAAATGAGCACTCCTTGCTAAGCTTTTTCATTGACATATTTTGATGCAATACGATCCCCAAGTCACCAACGGAGGAACAAAAATTAACATCCGACCCAGATATGTTGATGGATTTAACATCAATTTTCTCCAGCTGTTGCCAGGTACCAATCAAAAGTAGTTGAGTTTTACCTTCATTCATCTTCAATCTGTTATCTATCATCCACCCATTGAGTTTTTCGATGCAACATACAAATCTATCAACTTCATCTTCAAACGTTGTATTACATGCAATCGGAACAATTATTTGCACATCGTCAGCAAACGCATGATACTTGAAATTAAATTCCTCAATAATTGGGAACATATCAGCCGTATAAAGTAAAAACAACAAAGGCCCAAGGACTGAGCCCTGAGGAACTCCAGACGTGACTATCTCAACATCTGACAACCCGTTGTTAAAGAAAACTTGCTGA